TGTGAAATTAATTTAGCAAAGTTTACTTATGGGCTAAAATAAAAACCAGCAAATAATTAATGAATTTACAATATTAGACAAACTGAGCTCAAAGCAACAGACTACATGAAATTATATTTGTTAATTAATACTCTTCATAGAGGGTAGAACTACGTCACAGAAAGTTCTAAATAAAGACATGCACCACTGTACTTTATTTATATGACTCCGAGCAAGCTTATGTGGAACGCCGGTTAAAGAGCCGATGAAAACAGCTAAAGCAGAGATAACAGAATAAACTCAACTATGTGGCAGTCCTTAACAACTAAATTTATAAATATTGCACATGTAGAGGTAATATTGTTACACTGTTCAGGAGAGTCTCAACAACTAGCCCAATTAAAGCACAGTTTTTTGGGAGTTGCTTTCAATGGTTGTGGTTGCTAGGCAGTGAAAATGTCCTGATGTTCGCTCCCAAGAATAGACGCTAAGAGTGAGGAGGAAAACCATAACAAAGAAATTATGCAGATTCAAATGACAATGAATGCTGGTGATAACCTGGAACAATACCAAACATTAATCTTGGATTTATAGTCGTCAGTTTAAAACTAAACACAGTTATTATGAGTACCGGTAGTGAAAGAGAGCCGCACATGATTCTGATCTACGATGATGATTTCACAGAAATAGGTTCCATCCCAATTTCGCTGATGAGAACACTTCAGCATGATATGATCTATTAGTGTTGTCTAGACACGAACTACTGAATTTTTTCAAGTACATCTAGTCTTTTGCAGAATTTGCAGACCACATCATAGAGTTGTATTTTGAGATCAGTCAAGAAATAGCTCTCCTAAAAACATGGAAGTGATTTAAATGTGTTATGTGAGAAATTATTTTACATTTGTAAATTTACATTTTTTGGGAAGATTTTTTTTAGCTTCCCTGGGTGGAATTTTGAGCAAGCAAATCGCTTGCTTTAAGCCACGCATGGCACAGTCCCCGTTAGTTATCAAATTTAAGATATATAGTTTTGTTTATAGTTGGAACATAAACATGTCAGATGGATCCATAAGCTGATGCTTGATCATGATGATTACTCTAAACAAAAATGAATACATCTCTTTATCTATGACATGATGTACATGTATAATGTATATAAAAAATTTAAACATGTCAGAGATATGGCATTCATTAAAACAAAATGGCCGCCAGTTGGCTATTTTAAATCCAATCTTAAAAACAAAGTGACAAGTATTAAAGTCCCATAATGTTCAATGTACAAATGTATGTACCAAGTTTGAACAAAATTTATCTGTCAAACGGCTAAGATCTGGTTCCAGAATTCCAGATTTCGATGATTTTTCATCACAAAAATTACCGTGCCATCTTGCATCAGATCATGAAACAAATTGATGTGCATATGTATAATATTATGTATGTATGAATGAAGTTTGAATGTAATTGGTCCAGGCATGTCTAAGATATAGATCTGAATGCGAGGATGCACACTAGCACAAACGCACAGAGGTCAACCCCATTTTCAGACTGTATCCGCACGAGGACTAAAAAGTCTGGACATCATTCCTAGAAGCTTCATTTGTTTATTGAGACCACATGTACATGTATATGTTTAATGGTATGAAAATGCACAAATTGCTGGAAATATTGGAATTGCTAGTGTTCTGAAATAGTGAGAGAGTAATTAGAAATAGCAGGGAATCCTTGTGAATTCACGAGCCTTGCAACCCTTTTAAAACTAAATAAAAAGCCAAAATACATTGTACTTTACATACTAGTCCAATGACCCCAATGAATGGAATGAAAGAATGATCTGAGTGTAACTTTTAACCATTCTCACTCAAGCAATTAAATTGAATCAATTTCAATTATAACCCCATCATATAAAATAACGTTCTAAATGTGGTGTGGCAGTTTGTGCTGTTTTCAACCTCCACAAACTACTGTGCTTTCTGTTAGACTGCTTGTTTTCATTCAACCATAGAAGGTCAGCTAAAGCATGCCAAGCACAAAAAAACATATAGTTGTCAATAACTTGTTATAAACTGTAAGCACAACACTGAAACACTTCTTGAAAGAGTTTTTAACATGCATAGTGACAACAAATAGTTAAAATCACAGAGTAAAAATATTTCCCGTATTTGAGGAATCGTCAAATATCAAGCTATACTTCACTGTAGGATGAAACGAACCACCTATTTTATGTATAAGTAATATTTGAATGACATACCCAGCATAAAATAAATACATTTAATTTCTATATGCGATTCTAATAGAACAAATATGGTATAGAAAAAATTTAAAATGTATAAAATTCTGAACCAAAATTTTGATGAAAAAAAGGGATCATTCAAATGGTTTGTCTCGTCAGACAGAAATGGAGAACGTTTACAAATCTAGAATAAGTAATCCTTGAATAATGGGTGTCACATGACACTGTATTAAGTAGAGTGGGTATGAATTGATACAAAAGAGAAGACTATGTTAAGGCTATAAGAATTTTCAACCTGCAACAACTATGAAAATCCATCATTAAAAGATGTGGCGTATACATGTATGAATATACCATATTTTTTCTATTTGAAGCGCTTATGTCAATTACAAACTTAGAGTGATTCTATCGTGGAAAAACAGCATTTTAATACAATAAATGCAATCGCTTCTATTTCTTCCTTTCCGATAGTGTTAAGTATCTCACTGTTGGGAAATTCCTATGTCATTTTTAATTTGTAGATTATACAACAAAGACGGTTATTAGAAATAATAATTGGAAATTCAGCATTTATAGACGAAATTGCACAAAAATCACAATGTATTTGCATATACAATGTACATGTACTATGGGATTTGTGAATCCTGACAATTACTATCCAGAAAGGAGTTTGTGAAAATCGCACACACACCAAAGGAAATTGACATGAATCGCACAATTATGTATCCTAGATGATCATACAGTGTATATATATGCATACAAACCTCCTTGGTTCTCGAACTCCCCCGATGAATTTCACACATTCCTTTTTACTGAAGGTTTTCTCTATCCAGGCTTTCTGGGCCTACAAAAATAAACACACAAATAAAATCTGAAAATAATAAAACTGTTTTGAACTTCTACATTGTATCGTAGAAATTCTGAATCTGAGGCAAAACAAAGCATTAGCAATTTTTCCAACCATATTTTGGAAACCAGAAATTAAAAGAAAATATCTTGATATTTTTGTTGTTGTCAATATTATTTTTCTAAGAGACAGACAGATGTGATCATAACTCTGTACTAAATTACAATATTCATGATGTACAGATTTTTTATACGTGATGCAACGAATCATCCCCATGCATGTCATTCGCATAAAAATACCATTAACAAAAAAATTTGCAATTTAGTAAAAGGAAGTTTATATTATAATATATAAATAAAATAAGTGAAAACAAAGAAAATTATGGCCTCCAACATTTTTGTTTGTGATGTTTGTTATTGCAAAAACATTTTTCAGTTGCTTGAATTATTATTGTACAATTTTCAAATATAATTTCTGTGTTATTGCATGCATAACGTAAATATCTCCAAAGTGTGACGACAGACCAAAAATACATATCATATTGTTAGCCATCACATACCCCCCCCCCTTCCCACTACCAAACATTTTTTTCATTGCATACACTGCCAATGCTTCCAGATTTATATACGGTGTAAATAACTTTGGATAACAACAATTTATTTTTGCAAGCTCATGTTTGTATTTTCAGAATTATTACCAAAGAAATCGGATGAAATTTAAAATAAATTCTAGTGAAATGAAGCAAATATCATGAATCACCACATAGCATACACATATGTTCACATGAAGTAGACACGAGACGTCAACAAAATTAGCATACAGTGTACCAGGCATGTGCAATGATACATGTATATATTTGTATTCGATGTACTTTCACACTTCACCATTGCATTTTTTT